CTTATGCTCAAATCAATTGGTTAGTCTCTAAGGTGCCACAAGTACTCCTTTTCTTTTTGCGGATACAGACTAACACAGCTGCTACTCTGAAACCTGTCAAAGGCAACAATATTGTTCTAGAGATACATGTGATATTATGCACTATAAAGCTTTTGATTAATATACTCACACCCTTCCTTGATAACCTGGTGGTAAGAGACAAAGGACCAGCCTAGTCTCTGGCATGCTAAGAGAGTTCAGGTCCAGGTTCCTCAATTCTTGAGTGGGAAGAGCAGAGCTTAGGAGAAGCTGAAGAGCTATAGAAGACTGAAGAAGCTAACTTAGAGTTTTACTTAACTGACTGACTTAAACCTTACAATTCAGAACTAACAGATTAATAGACTAATAAACAAAAGGGTAATAAACTAAGAACGAAGAAGCTTCTTTGTCATGGTGGGTCACCCCTCTTATAGAGCTTGAAAACCTCAGCCCTCCTTCTATGGCCACACTTAGTTTCTTCACCCACAGAAATGTTGGGGTACGCTTACTCCATTGGCCGGCATGTTTGTACGTATTGATGACATATACACACATATTAATGACATTAGCTCATTCTCACATTTGTTATTTCTGTCCTATCCAGTTATTTCGGTTATTTGCAAGTTCCGAGTTGTGGTGTACCTATTAAGTTTAAAGAGGTAGCACTTAGGTAGCCCTCCATACCACCCTGCTTCAATGCATTCTTTATGTATCTATGTTAAAGGTCGCAACCATATATGGAACTTATGCTTTAGCTCATCACCACCTATCTAGGTGAAAGGTCCCAAATATATGTACACTAATGTTGCTTTAGCTCAACATACAGGATGTGGCCTGCAAGTCCCTTGTGTTACAGCCAAAAATACTTTAATATAAATCTATAGGCCTATTATAACCTATTATAACAAAACAAAGAGACAAACACATAAGAAAATAAGAAATCCATAAGAAAATATATATAGGCAAGCAAGCAGGCTAGCCCTATAGGCTGTAATACCCCATATTCATCACAACTTTCTACCCCTGGACTAGGAGATAGGGAAAGGCAGAGAATGGGGAAAGGTGAGAGGCAGCAAATTGGGCTGGGAATGTCCCCATCCTTCAGAATTTACCAGCCCTGGACCAAAGGATGGAGGAAGACAGAGGTGGGAAAACTATGATAAATGAATCCCATCCATCGCAGTCCGTTACCCCTGGACCAGAAACTGGGGAAAGGTGAGAGGTACCAAACTGTGGTGGGAATGCCTCCATCCAGCACAACTTACTGCCCTTGGACTATACGATGGAGAAAGGCAGAAGCAGCAAATTGTGACAGGGCAGCAAAGGAGAGGATACGCAGATGTTAATAACTGCTACCGGCGGCAAATTGTGCAGGCAAAGTTACACTGGCATGGTGAGGAGCAGCAGGTAAAAATCCTGTGGGAGAATGGGGGGGGAGGGGGGAGAACTGGGGGATTTTTTCCTACAGCCCAGTGATGGGTTAATTTGACTCTACAAATAACCAGAGGAACCTGGTGGCACAGCATTGAGATCCCCATGGCCCGAACTAAGGGAGCAACCCTCGCAGCCCAGCTCAGGGCTAGCAGACAGTGAACATGCTGTGGGGAAAAGAGAACACATCTTACAATCTGCTCCCTGGATCTCTCTCTTACCAGAGTGAATCCCACCCATTGTCAGTGTTGCTGGGAAACATATCCCCTGCCTCTCTGGGTTCTGGGCAGCCTATGTAGGACCAGGAACCCATCACCCCCATGTCCCAAGTCTCTACAGACATCCAATCTGGATGTGTCCTCTCTGTCCACTCATTAACATGGTGCCTTCTATGCATCATGCCTCCTTAATGCTGAGATGAGCTGCCTGCTCCTAGGGAATGTGGTTCCCCGCAGAGGGAGGGTCTGGGGCAGCGGGCTGCAGTGCAATCCTTTTTATTTATTTGAGTAATTTTCATAAAGAAAAAATAATCCTGTTTATTTATTTATTTGATTGATTAATGTGCATAAACATAAATACAATAAAAATATAAAAAGGGAAGTGACTGACAGCTTGACTGAGTTACCAAACACTGCATGTCTCACAGGACAGCCAGTAACATTATTCACTCACACAACTTCACAACTTTTCCAAGCTGCTAAATTAGACCAGGCAAAATCCGACACTATTACACATACAGAACGTGCTGGGGGAATCCAGGCCCTACAACAGCAATTCCCCGCCCCAGTGCAGGACACTCAGGGCGTCCCTAGAAAGGGATTGCTGAGATTTACGATGCTACTTTTTATCTTCTGGGTAACACATTAGAACCCGCTCTGAGTAAGTTGTGGCGTTGCTTCATCGAGTTAACTTTTTTTATCCTCCCTGGGACCTTTTAAATCACCGGCCCCGGACAATTGACCCTTCCCCCCCCCACCCACCCCCCAACCCCGTCGGCGGGCCTGGGGTGACGATACAATAAATAATCACAATAACTGACACAGGTCAAACCTAATGTTGCCGCTGTCGCTAGGACCCAGGAGGCGCCGAGCAGGGCGATCCCCAGGGTCACGCAGCCTGGCCGCAGGAAGCGAATTGCAGTCTCTGCAGTGACTCTGTTACGGTGCAACCCACCTTCCTTGCAAGACCCCAGAGCCTCGGCTGCTGCCGCTGGGGACCCTAGAGCCCTGGCTGCAGGCGGGGGAGGTTTCCTATCGAGGGAGGAACATTCCCGCTGCTCCCCTAGAGACTCTCTTAGTGCAGAGACCCCAGACTGTCCGGCCCCTCCTTACTGGACCCAGGGCCCTGCTCCCACGTGGAGAGAAGGTGAGACCTGCCCCCCTCCCCAGGGAGCGCTGCCCCCAGAGCAGCCTGTCTGCAGAGGCAGGGGGATGCCCCAGGCTGCTCCCAGCTGGGCTGGCTGCGATTCCCTGCACTGGGCAGAGGAAAGCTGGCTGCCAGCTCCCATGGTTTGCAGTGAGTGGGTGGAATGGGGGTGGGACAGAGACAGGTTGGGAGCCGGAAGGGGGATGAAGACGGGGAGGGGGCTCTGAGAGCCAGAGGGAATTGAGGGGGTGAACGGGGTGGAGGGGGACGCCGAAGGGGGGCTGAGGGAATACCCGGGAATTAGGGGGCAGGGGGGAATTCTGGGGTACAGAGCTGGAAGAGAGGGAAACTCGGGGGGGGTAAAGGGAAGGAAAGGGGGGATATGAGGAGAGGGGCTGTGGGGAGGCTGGAGAGAAAATATGAGAGCAAGCAGAGACTGGCTGGGGAAGGGAGAGCCAGAGGGTAGGAGAAGGGAGAGCGGAGGGATGGTGAGAGATACAATGGCAGCTCCCCCAGCCCATGGGGTAGGAGGCTGCCACGCCCAGCAGCCAGTAGGGAATATTTCCCCCTAGACATGGTCAAACAAGCGGTGGGGGGGGGTAGCGGATTTCCCCCTAAGGGCTCAGAATTTACAAGGCAAATATTCCCCCCCACACACACTCTGCTCCTAATGTAGTCTTTGTTTTTTTAAGACAATCTCATTATCTGGGGGGTCTGCCTCCTGAATGATAAATGTTTAGAGCTGACAGGACTGAACAGGGTCCTGCTCTGATTTCTGTGTCAAACCAGAGTCACTGCTAGCGACAGCAGGCAAGGAATCCAACTGGTATTTGTTTTGGTTTGATTCAGGTTCAGTTCCATTCAATAGGTTCGGTTTTTTTTCTGGTTCAAGCCACCCAAAGAAACAAAATTAGAAGTTCAGTTACCAGTTTAAATCCTATTTCAATCTCAATGGAGGTAAATCCATGAAAGAGAGCTGCAACTTAAAATGGAAACTGTTTTGATTTTTGATTATTTATTTTGTAATTTTAACTTTACATGAGTTTTCCTAGTGTATTTGTGTTGTCAAATATAAATGATTATTTTCCTAAACAATGTGTTTGAGAAACCCAAAATAACATATTTAAACATTCACTTTGTCATATTGGACCTCTGCAGTGAAAGGATACATTTGAGGTCTGGAAATTTTCTTTTGATGCTCACTTGTGTTGCTGGAACTGCCAGTACAATTTTTGATATTTGATATAGCGTGAGCATGACATTTTTCCGATGTTCCCAGTAGTTCGGTATGTTTCTTTCTTATGGAGATGTGGCCCATCTGCGAATAAATCAGGAGTTGGCCCAATCCTTTTTTGGGGCTTTCCTTCATCCAGATATCGCTTCCTGTTTGGAGATTTCACAAGAAGTTCCAATTCATCTTTCAATTTCAGACGTGTCTGACATTGGTTCTGTAACATCATTATTTCTGACTCAGACATTTCCATCTACATCCATGTTCTGGTGTAATGAAATTTTGCCTTGACTTTGTCCGGTGCTGACAGTGGGGACTGATATCTAGCATCAAGATATATGTATGAGAGAAACTATCTATCTGGGGTAGGGGTGGGAGGGTTGGAGGCGGGTATCAGACAGTGCCCTGGAGGGGTGGGAGTGGGCCCTGCACCTGGCTTCAGTGGGGAAGGGAGTTTGGAGCATGAACCCTACCTCAAGTGGAGCAACTAGAGGGAGGAGCTGCCCCAGGGGCTGGGGATGGTGGGAGGAGGCCTGTCTAAGGGGAGAAGGTTGGGGAGCCATTACCTTTGCCCTTGGACTTGAACAGTTATGAACTTCAGGGCCCAGGGAGCATCCCACCCCTTCTCTCCCCACGGAGCCTTCTCAGAGGTGGCTCATCTACCTCTGGTCCCCCTTCTGCCTCCCATGGTGTGCAGGCAGCTCCCAAGCTTCCCCTCTCCCTCCCTGGTCTGGTGGTTGTCCCCTGTCTCTTCTCACTATCCTGGTGCCCGCTGTTCTGGGGCAATCACCAGCCTATTGGCTAGTTTGCTGTGTCTCTTAAATGAAACTAAGATCTCTGTTGGTTTTTTTTTTTTTTTTTTTAATAATGAGCTTAAAAAATGCTGAATCTTTATTTTAACTGGTAACACCACTGCTTTTTGTTCAGTTCCGTTGAGGTTGAGTTGGGAAAACAAATTTATGATTCAGATTCAATTCTAGTTAATGTATGAAATACCGGTTTGAACTGGTTCTCCGATTCCACTATGAGTCCAGATGGGCATATGAGATCAGCATTGGCCTGACTGTCCCTGGGGGCTGCAGGGGCAGCACAGGGCGGCTTGGTCATTAGTTGTCCCCAGCAGAGGGCTCTGGTAATTGCTAAGGCCAAAGAGGTCAGTCAGTGTCAGTCTCTCTCTGTGCTCAGGATACTGGAACCCTAGAGCTAGCTGGGCTTCCTGGGGCAGATGCTGCTGCCTCCATTGTGATCTGGGAGCCCGGGCTGAGCAGCTGCTGCTGCAGAGCAGATCTGTGCTGGGACAGACCATCACTAAGGCCCTCTCTGTGCCCAGCCGAGGGAGTGCTTCCTCCTCTGGCTGGAACTATCCCCCGGGGGCAGCTCCGGGCTTTGCTGGCATCGACTCCTGAGTCAGAGACTGCAGGTGATGAAATTGACCTCTGGGGGTAAGTGCAGGGGGCAGGCAGGAAAGTGACTCTGCACAAATGGCCCCTTGTTGGCCCATCTCTGCTCCCGGGTGTCTGCGAGTCCCAGAGCTGCTGCCCCCAACACACCCAGGCTCACACTCCTGTTAGCAGTGACAGTAGCTATTGGAGAGGAAACGCTCACAGGAATGGCAGGACAGGAATCAGCTCTTCCATGCAGAAGGGAGAGGGGAGAGACTGAAAGTGGCAGCAGGAGCAATAAGTGAGGAGGGAGGTTCCAACCCAGTTTCCAATTCAGATTGACTTTCCTGGGAAGAAGGTGAGGAGCAGAGAGAGGAAAAGCCCAAGTCCTGCCTCTGCCTAGTCCCCGCGCTGCTGGGGGAATGTGCTGCCCTGGAGACAGTGTCAGGGGGGATTCCCCAAAGTGGAGCTTTTGATTCTGCTCTTTTCTAGCATTTGGCTTAGAGACTCTGTTCCTGGGAGGGTTTAAAAGTGTCTCGTGGATTTAGTCCTGGTGGGAAGGGTCAGGTCTGTGTTGTACAAAGGTAACTGAGGTTTTCCCAGCATGGCAGAGTCTAGAGTTTCAGAGTAACAGCCATGTTAGTCTGAAGCTTATGATCAAATAAATTGGTTAGTCTCTAAGGTGCCACAAGTACTCCTTTTCTTTTTGAGAGTCTAGAGTGTCTTGTCTGCAGGGAAAGAGCCTGGGGGGAATCGAGGTGTGAAATGGACTAATGCTAATTCAAAAACCTCCCCAGTTGCCCTTCTCACCCTGACAGGCTGCAGAATAACGACCCATTTTGCTCCAGATCATCCCATCTTCCTAGGGTCCTGGGCAGGGAAATGGCTGTGGTGGATCCAGCTCAGGTAGGGGATTTTGGGGGGAACTGCTGGGGAAGGTTGTTGTAAAGGGGGAGGGGGAGGAAATACACAGGGTGAGACAGGGAGGGGGACAGAGTACGATAAACCTGCTGGGACATGCTCAGCCTAGGGCCTGATTTATTAACAGGCCCATTGTGGGACCAGGGGGTGAAGAGTCCCCCATTTCTGAAACAGGAAACAACCCCCTGGATAGGGCTGGGGAAACAGGCTAGAGTGCTGGAGCCTGAACCCATCGGCAGAGACTGCGATGAAATACAGAGGGAAGGTGTTGGGATTCCTGTCCCCTGCACATAGCTCTGCTTCCCATGTTAGCCTGTGCCTTGTAGGTGTGTGGCAAATGTGAAAACCCTGCCCTCCTCTGCTGAGAGGGACAAGGAGCCCTCACCACCTCTCTGGTCCCTGCAGCCTCCTGGCCACTCTGAGCGGGGGGGAGTGATATTCTCCTCTCGCGCTCCCAGAGCTGTCGTATTATTGTGCTTCTTCCCACAATAGTGGGATTGTGGCTGGGGCAGCAGGTACTGAGTGGGGAGCACCTGTTTTTTCAGATGCCGGTGACCTTTGAGGAGGTGGCTGTGTACTTCACCGAGGGGCAGGGAGCTCTGCTGGAACCCGGTCAGAGAGCCCTCTACAGGGACGTCATGCAGGAGAATTATGAGACTGTGACCTCGCTGGGTAAGGATTCCTGTCCCCTCAGCAATTTGAAGCCAGGGGCTTGCATTTCTGCATCTGGTCAGGTTCTTCCCTGATCAGTTACATTAGAGGGGAATGGGTCACATAGTCCACAGCTCCAGTGTGTGAGAGAGCCGTTCACCTCCAAACCCCTTACAATGGGATAGGGGAGTCATGAACCTGATGGACATGTTAATTCATCCCCATCCCATCAGCTTTCACAGGGGCAGGAGCAATGTGTTAACCTATCTGCATTAATTCTCACTCACACACAAGATCTCTATGCACCTCCTTCCTGGGAGTAGCTCCATCTGTGGGGAGGACTCTGGGCTCTGGAGGTTTAGATGTATGCAGGGGTATAACACCAGAGCTGTGTGTGCCTCAGAAAGTCCCCCAGAGCACACATCCTGATAACTCCTAGAGAGGGGTTGACAACTCCCCCTCCCCCAGACATCGGCCTCTCCCAAGGGGACTCAGTGACCATGTTCCCATCTGTTCAGATCCCACAACCCTCCAGCAAATCATGGGGTCAGTTTAAACTCAAGATGTGCCCTTTGTGACAAATAGTCCACTGATCCTCAGTGCTCTCTTATCATGCCTGATTTCATCCCCTGAGCAGGACTCCCCATTCCCAAACCTGATCTGATCATCCAGCTGGAAGCAGGGGAAGAGCCGTGGGTCCCAGATCTCCCGGCCTCCAAGAAAAGGAAGATCACAAGAGACACCTGCACAAGTAAGGAGTCAGTGACTCTGACAAAGAAACTATACGGCAAGTGAAGGAAAAAGCTGAAAATCCGAGCCCCCTCAGTTCTGCCTCATCTCACCTAGGTCAGGCTGTGGTCAGCAGGTGTCAGGTCATCATGGCAGATACAGCTCATAGATTCCCACCCACCCTGTTAGCTGTCAGGAGTTTTTTCCATGACTTCACTTCCCTGTGAATGTTTGGATGGGATTTGGGAGCAGAATACAAATTCTCAGTCTCCCCAACAGTTGCTGAGTTGTGTTTTCCCTCTTTGTATTCCCCTTTCTGTCCTTTGTACTAACCCAGGCAATGACTCCTGCCTATATTCTCTCTCTCCCCCAGCAGGTGATGAGACAATGAATGAGAACGAGGACGAGAATCCACTGCAGGAATGTCCTGAACAAGTGGAACTGCAGGGGACCTTATTGAGACAAGGTGAAGGGAATTTTTCCCAATGCTTGGAACAGAGAAAAGCCTGGAGTAATTGGCACAGGTCAGAGAGGAAGCTGGGAAACTGCCAAAGGAATAAAGTGTATGAATCTATTGAATGTGGGGAAGGAGGCAAGGATCCCAAAGAAACCACAATTCAGCAGACAAATGAGAATGAAAAGAACGCCTATAAATGCTTGGACTGTGGGAAAAGCTTCAGTCATCGCTCAAATCTTACTAGACATGGGAGAATCCACACTGGAGAGAGACTTTATAAATGCTTAGACTGTGGGAAAAGCTTCAGTCGGAGCTCAAATCTTATTAGCCACAGGATAATCCACACTGGAGAGAAACCCTATAAATGCTTGGACTGTGGGAAGAGCTTCAGTCAGCGCTCAGGCCTTATTAACCATGGCGGAGTCCACATGGAAGAGAACCCCTATAAATGCTTGGACTGTGGGAAAACCTTCAGTCATCGCTCAAATCTTACTAGACATGGGAGAATCCACATGGGAGAGAGACTTTATAAATGCTTAGACTGTGGGAAAAGCTTCAGTCGGAGCTCAAATCTTATTAGCCATCGGATAATCCACACTGGAGAGAAACCCTATAAATGCTTGGACTGTGGGAAGAGCTTCAGTCGGAGCTCAAATCTTATTAGCCACAGGATAATCCACACTGGAGAGAAACCCTTTAAATGCTTGGACTGTGGGAAGGGCTTCAGTCAACGCTCAGGCCTCATTAGCCATCGGATAATCCACACTGGAGAGAACCCCTATAAATGCCTGGACTGTGGGAAAAGCTTCAGTCGAAGCTCAAATCTTATTAGCCATCGGATAATCCACACTGGAGAGAAACCCTATAAATGCCTGGACTGTGGGAAGAGCTTCAGTCAGCGCTCAGGCCTTATTAACCATGGTAGAATTCACATGAGCAAGAACTCCTATAAACGCTTGGACTGTGGGAAGAGCTTCAATCAGCACTCAGGCCTTATTAGCCATGAGAGAACCCACACAGGAGAGAGACCCTATAAATGCTTGGACTGTGGGAAAAGCTTCAGTCGGAGCTCAAATCTTACTGCTCATAGGAGACTGCACACTGGAGAGAGACCCTATAAGTGTTTGGACTGTGGGAAAAGCTTCAGTCGGAAGGCACATCTTATTAGACATGGGAGACTCCACACTGGTGAGAAACCCTATAAATCTGTGGTTCTCAAACTTTAACAACCCGAGGACCCCCCTTTAACTGAAAAATTTTCAAGGACCCCCGCAAGCCCACTGCTCAGCCACAGGCTCCGATCCCACTCCACCCCTTCTCCCAAGCCCCCACCCCTGCCCCTCCTCTTCCCTGCCTCTTTCTGCCTCCTCCCTCAAGCGCACTCTGTCCCCACTCCTCCCTTTCCTGCACACTGCTGAACAGCTGTTTTGTGGCATGCAGGAGTGACTGGGAGGGAGGGGGAGGAGTTGATCAGCGGGGACAGCATCCCCGGACATGACTCGTTGACCCACTGGAGTGCCCTTACGGACCCCTGGACCCCAGTTTGAGAAACCCTGCTATAAATGCCTGTACTTCAGGAAGAGCTTCATTTATTGCTCAAGTCTTAATTAACCATGAGAGAAACCATGCAGGAGAGAGACCCTATAAATGCTTGGACTGAGGTAAAAGCTTCATTCAGCACTCGGGCCTTATTAACCATGGGAGAATCCATATGCGGTAGAGACCCTAAAAATGCCTGCAGTGTGAGAAAAGTTTCAATGCACCATCAGCCCTTATTATACATCAGAGAACCCATAGAGGAGAAGAACCCTATAAATACTTGGATTGTGGGACAAGCTTTAATCATTTCACATCTGAGAACACACACAGGAGATAAAACCTGTAAGTGCCTGCACTGTGGGAAAAGCTTCAGTGAGAGCTCAAATGTGGACACAAGAATAAATGGATATAAACTGGCAATCAGGAAGTTTAGACTTGAAATTAGACAAAGGTTTCTAACCATCAGAGGAGTGAAGTTCTGGAACAGCCTTCCAAGGGAAGCAGTTGGGGCAAAAGACCTATTTGGCTTCAAGATTAAACTTGATAAGTTTATGGAGGAGATGGTATGATGGGATAACATGATTTTGGCAATTAATTGATCTTTAACTATTCATGGTAAATAGGCCCAATGCCCTGTGATGGAATGTTAGATGGGATGGGATCTGAGTTACTACAGAGAATTCTTTCCTGGGTATCTGGCTGGTGAGTCTTGCCCACATGCTTAGGGTTCAGCTGATCACCATATTTGGGGTCAGGAAGGAATTTTCCTCCAGGGCAGATTGGAAGAGGCTCTGTGGGTTTTTCACCTTCCTCTGCAGCATGGGACACGGGTCACTTGCTGGAGGATTCTCTGCACCTTGAAGTCTTTAAACCATGATTTGAGGACTTCAATAGCTCAGACATAGGTGAGAGGTTTATTGCAGGAGTGGGTGGGTGAGATTCGGTGGCCTACTTGTGCAGGAGGTCAGACTAGATGATCATAATGGTCCCTTCTGACCTTAATATCTATGAAATCTTATTATACGTAAGACAATCCACACAAGGGAGAAATCCCATAAATGCTTAGGTGATGGGGAAAAGCTTCAGTCCTAGATCATACCTTACTAAACATTTCAGAATCCACATGGCACAGTATCTACAAAATACCTCAACTGTGGAGAAATTTTAATTTGAAGATCAAACCTTACTTCGCATCAGACAATCCACATGGGAGAGAGAACCCATAAATACTTGGATTCTGGGAAAAGCTTCAATAACTGCAGGGAAAGATTCAGTCTAACTCACACATTATTCCCCATCAGATAATTCACAGAAGAAAGAGCTTGAATGTGGGGGTACCTTCTTTTGGTGCTCACACGGCATCAAGCATCAGCAAATCCAAACAGGGAGGAGCCCTCTCAGATCTGCTTAGCATGGAAAATGCTTCAGTTGGAGCTAACACCCCATTGAAAATCAGAGACTCCGCCACACAGGAGAGAAATTCTCTCAGTGCCCTGACTAGGGTTGACCATAGTAAAAACTCCATTTCCTAATTCCCACACACAGCAGTGGCATTTGGCTCCCAGGTATCCAACTGCCCATCTCTGGGGACAGGTTCCAGCAGCAGCTGACCCTTAGCTGTTCAGGGACCCTCTGGCTTTGCTTGGTCTAAGAAAACCCCAGGCAGAGAAGTCCTTATCAGCCCCTCTTCCCTGCTGCAGTCCTGGCTGCTGAACTGATGGGCCTTCCTGCCTCCTGGGAACCTGCTGAGGAATGGGAGAGAGAAACTCCTCCGGAAGCTCCCTCTGCCTGGATGAAGTTCTCTTCTTTCCTTTCCCTTCCCTGATGTGATGCCCCTCCCATGGAGGCTAGGAGAGGGATATTTGAGCCAGGCCCAACATTCACCCTGAACACCTTTCCCCACTCCCATTTTCCTGCAGCCCCTGAACTGGTTTCCTCCACTTACCTGGAGCTGGTACCTGCAGAGTGAGTATCCCTGGGGCTGACAACTCTTCCCCTCCCTAAATTCCTGAAGGTGCTGGATTCCGGGGAATCAAATGTGAAGGGACCAGGAGGGATGGGTTTTGGGGAGGAAACTGCTCTATCGGCATATAGAGATAAGCCCAACGGATGTGAAGGGCTTCAAAATATGCTTGCTTGGAAACTAACCCCAATAAACATTTCATTGTTTGCACTTCGGACTTCTGGTCTGCTTTCTGTCTATGTGACAAGAACCAGGGGAGAGGGTGAAGGGAAAGCCCTCTACCAGGGAGTTTGAGTATCACTGGTATTTAAATGTCAGATTCAGGTACCTAAAGTGAAAGTAGTAGCTGGGCACCAAAATCTTTTTGTGGCTTTAGCCCCTGGTACCTAACCTGTTTTGGAAACCCCGCTAGACCCCCATTTGCTTCATCAGGTGCTTAATACCTTTAAAAATCCAACTCTAAGTCATTTTTGAAAAAATGCTTTTGAAAAACTTACCCAAAATGTAATAGGCTTTCAAAATCAGTTTAATATAATCTGGGTCCATAAGCAGTAAAATACCTTCATCGGAACAGTATGGGGCTTTGAATGGTGTCACTTCATGGCAGGGTCTGACAGTCAGTGCTAAATGTCTGAACAGACCCGTTGTTAATGATTATTGCTAAAGCCAGTAACATTGACTTTTCTCATAAAATGTGTTCAGCACTCTAGAAGCAAGTGCTGTAATTGTGGAGAACACGCTGTATTTGTCGCACATAACAGAAGTTGAATACCTGCTTTAGGTGCAGAGTTTCATTCTCTCAGCAATCGGGAGATGCTGTCCCCTCCCCTCATCATTCCTCTTGGGGCATCACTCGTAGCCTTTTAGATTTCAGGGTCGCTCCTCACATTTATAAAATCATTACATTGGCTGTTCTGCATATTGAGATTGTAAACTCTTTCCCTTAGGAGCTGTCTCTCATGATGTGTATATACAGTGCCTAGCACAATATAGACTTAGTCTTCTGTGGAGCTTCTGGCTACTGCTGTATTACAAATAACCATGGTATTCACTAAGACACAATTATTTTGTAACCAGAAAAGAATGAATTTGGGGAAAGTTGTGGTATGAGGAACAGGCCGAATATCAACAGAGACTCCCAAACCCAGCAATCTCTAGTTCCAGTCCTGCAAAATCTTAGTCACATATTTAATTGTACTGCTACCAATAGCCCCATTGATTTAAATGTGTCTGAGCTAGAATAAGGCAGGTGGTAAGGCTGAGAGAGGTGGGGTCTTGGTCAGAAACACAGCTCAGAGATCAGAAAAGCTTTAGCCATAATAGCTAGATAATATGGCTAAAGCGATTCTGAAAGCACCAATAGCTTACTTTGACAGGATGTAGCACAGATTTATTGAGGACTTAAGGAGACAAAAGATCTTTTGCCAGAAGGGTCCTTTTTATTTTATATAACCTTTCTTTTCCCTTTGTCATGAGATCTTTGTGTTGTGTGAATAATGAAAACTATCAATATCTTTCAGCACAAACACCAGGGATGAGTCCTAGATTCACACTCCGAGGGGCCGAGACTGAACAGGGCCTGGAGTTGCTACCTGAGCTCTTCAGGGATGTGAGATAGAGTCAGGAGGGAGTGAGGGTGGGAGGTGAGGGGAACAGAGCTGGAAAACTGCAGACTTTTCTCTTGAGAACCAGACAGCTGAGGCTGAGAACTGTGAACTTGCTACACCAATACCAGAGAGAGACAGGAATTGCCCTGTGACTGGTGGGTGAAGCCGTAGTTTGTCCACCTCTGTGATAGTATCTGTTCCCCAGTGTTCCGTTCCCAGCTGTGATACCACAGAGCGTTTACCACGTGTCCCCCTTCCCAGCTCTGATGCCGCAGAGCCTTTACCCTGTGTCTCCCTTCCCAGCTCTGACGCCGCAGAGCCTTGCCTGTGTCCCTGTTCCCTAATTTTTGTTCCTGTTCCCCCCCTTAGCAAACATGATTCCAATTTCCCTTCCCCCCCACTTCTTGTTTGACCCCAGTTTATATAGTAATATTCTTAGCTATACCTTAAACAATCATTTTACTGAAATTTAACTAACCAATCCTAATGTATTGTAACATGATTATGTAACCAATTATATCCCATTACCCTAATTAACTTACTGTAAGGGGACTGATGCCCCCTTACTAACATTCAGTGGGGGTGTTTTAGTTGCTAGCTCCCAGTACTAAAAAGGGGGAAGGGTCGATGGGAAACCAGGACCCTGAGACTGACAGTCCCCAGGAACAATGGGGAGACGCCAATGCTCCAGGTCAGCCTGAATGACAGGGCGGGCAGGCAAATCAGGGAGACAGGAGGCCAGGGAGGTCCCGTCCTCTGTGTGAGCTGGAATTGCCTGGGTCAGACAGAGTGGGGCTGAACTAAGGAGAAAGCTGGGGTGCAAGCTGAGCTGGGGAGCAGAGCTGTGCCAGATCCAGAGAGAGCAGACCGTGTCCTGGGAGTAGAGCTGCAGCCCCAAAGCCAGAGGCACAGCCCAGAGAGAGCAGACTTGCCCTGGGAACAGAGCTGCAGCAACCAGAGCCAGAGGGGCCAGAAAAGCAGCCCAGGAAGCAGGTCAGTGCTAAGAGCAGAGTCACAGAAGCAGCCTGCAGAGCAGACCTGTCCTGGGAGCAGAGCTGTAGCAACCAGAGGCAGAGAGGCCAAAGAAGCAGCCCAGGGAGGTGGAGGCAGAGCCCAGCAGCAGTGCTGAAACAGAGTGGTGGAGCTGGGGCTGGAGCAGTCCGGAGCTGGGTGTGGTGAGCAGCTGGGGAGAGCGAGGGGGACCTTGGGCAGCAGGCCTAGCACAGGGAGACACCTCAGCCAAGAGGCTCTGCAGGCCAGGCTTGGATCGTAACCCCGACAGGGCGGGGACAACACTGGGAAGACGGGTCCTACCACTTAGAGCTTGAGAGCATGAGGCCACCACCAGAGCAAGTGTCCAACCCAGAGCATCCCTACAGCACAGCCAGGGCCTGAGAAGGCGGCCTGGGACTTACAAGGAACAGACTGTGAACTGCCCTTATATTCCAGAGATACTGTTTGTGATGTTCCAAGCCACAGAGCGGGTTGATGTGTTTCCTTTAAGCTTTCCCATTTCTCCTTATTCTTTTTAAAATTAATTGTTGATTAAATAACTTGCATTTGCTTTAACTTGTATGTAATGGTCAGTGGGTCAGAGAAGTGCCCAGTGCAGAGTCCTCAAGGGCAGGGAGGCCACTGGGTAAAAGAAATGGGAGCAAGGACTCAGATCCTTTTGCTAGCCTACTTCACCGGGGTAGTGCAGAAGCAAGGAAAGTTCCTCACAATAGCGGGACTATTCCCCTGCTTACATTACACCTAGCAAAATTAACTATACAGCAGACAGAAACAATTAGACAACCACACAGATTAACAATAGAAAAGTGGGGGCCATAAAGATAAAACAATACAGAAATGAGGGTTTCACAACCACAACTATCGATAAGTGATTTCTTGCAAGACAGGATGCTATTAAACTAAGTTTTCTTTAACCATCATAAGATCTGTTACTTTATCTGGTGATAATGGGCACTATCAGGACAGCATTGTCTTCCTAACAGCCCAATACCACCTTATTTCAGTGTGACTGGTTTGGAATGTGAGGACCGGTCGCTTCCCAGCTTATGGCTGCCTCTGCTGCTTAGCCAAAGGCCTTAGCCTAAGAACAGGGCCTCAGACTGTCACAGTGAGAGAAGGACCTTACACCGGCAGACAGTGATTTTGATTCTTTGTTTTTTATACCCCCCGTAACTAGCTAAGTGATAAAAATACACCTAAGTTCTTAAAGTATATAGGCCTTTACAGGCAGGCGTGAATATCTATATTCTAAGCCCCTCCCCCTCTGCTGCTGCCTAACTCTGAAGGTGTCTAAAGATCCTATTCACCTAAATTTTGGCTGTTAAAATCCCCCAGATGCCTAAATCCCTCAGGTGCTTCTCAAACTAAGTTTTCCCTGGCCTGTCTCGCATGTGGCTGCCCCACTGCCCACTCAGGTTTGTTCCAAGCATGTGCCCCATTTCACAGGGTGTGGGGAGAGCTGAGGCCAAATTTGGTATTGCAACCCACGTGGCACAATGCCACTCACTCAGCTCCCTCCCTCCAGTATCATAATGGGGATGGGACACTGGGGCCTATCCAGAGTGCATAGAGCAGCAGCCCTGGAACCAGACCAGCTGGTGCTTCACCACCAACATCCAGGTGAAGCATGGGGAGTGGCTGTTAGTGCCCACATGGGGAAAGGAGCCAGGAGGGGGGCAGCGGGGGACTGGCAGGGGGCAGACATGGGAGGGGGTTGCCTAGAGCCCAGGGATGGGTTAATCCAGCCCTGCGAATACCCAGAGGAACCTGGTGGCAAAGCACTGATAGCTACATGGCCTGAGTTAGGGGAGCAGAGCTTGTAGCTCAGGCCCAGGGCTAGTAGCCAGTGAGCCTGGTGTGGAGACAAGGGGCTGTCTCTGACAAACTGCTCCCTTTGCCCGTCTGTTACCGGAGTGAATCACACAGAGAGTCAGTGTCACTGAGAAATGTGTTCTCTGCATCTCTGGGCTGCCTCACTAGGATCAGGAGCCATCACTCCTTGTCCCCATTGATATTGTGGACTCTCTAGAACAATCCCCAGTCTCCATAGAAACCTCCCTTTTCCTCCTTGCCTGGTATCTGGATGTCTCTTTTATGCCCATCTTTGACATGGTGGCTTCTATGCCCGATGCCCCCTTAATGCTGAGAGAAGCTGCCTGTGCCCAGGGGAACTGGGGCCCCAGGAGGCAGGGTCTGGGGCAGGGGGTTGCAGTGCAATCCCTTGATCAGTAGGACCCAGGAGCAGCTGGGATGTGGCTCTGGGAGTGATCCCTGGGGTCACTCAGTCCAGGCAGCAGGAAGTGAATCGCTCTCCCTGCAGTGACTGAGGTGCTGTGGGAGCCCATGCTCCTTGCAAGATCCCTGAGCCCTGGTGGCTGCTACTGGGACCCTGGAGCCCTGGCTGCAGCCAGGAGAGAGGAATCTCGAGCAGTAACATTCCCGCTGCTCCTCAGGAGCCTCTCCCGGTGCAGAGACCCCAGCCTGGCCAGGACCCCCCACCCCGGGCCCCAGCCCCTGCTCCCGGGGAGGGCACCGCTTGGAGGGAAGGTAAGCGCGTATTAAGATACTTGGGGAGGCTGTTTCCCCAAA